AAAGGACACAGAGGCAGTGAATGTCAAGTGAAATAGGTGAGAAGGAGTTAGCTGGAGCGCAAGATTTTAATGATGAAAACAATTGAAGTTTTGAATAGGAAATGTGATCCTTTATGGCTGGCAGGATGCACTGGGGACATCTTGTTATCTATGTACCTTGGAGCCCATGGGCTCAAACAGGATGGGAATGGAGAATGCTGTTAGGGAATGGAAAAAAGAAAAACAAACCAGGAAATTAGATATTGAGCGAGGAGAGATAGCAGCATATATTCAATTCAGAAGAGAAAGAAATTTTCTTCCCCTTTTGGAGTTCTGTTGTGACTTACACGTGCAATAGAAGGCACAACTCCTTTCTAGCATGCAGTTTTCCTGGCTTGAACAGACAAGTCCATTTTAACTTTTTTAAAGTATCTTTTAGACAGATTATACTGAAAGCAAGCTTTGTGCTGAGCTGAAATCTTGAAATTCTTGGCTGGTTATTTGCCTTATGTGATGAATTAGGCAACCATGAAATTCTGATTCTTTTAAAAATAATGTTGATCATGCTCATTTCAATTCATGGTTTTGATTGGTTTTTACCCTCAACCTTTGACGTTGCAGCAGCTGTGAATCTAAGATTTGTTTAGACCAGTACTCCTGTTTCACTTAATGGAAAAAGAAAAGTAGTTTTTCTAGAGTTAATTACGTTAAGCTTCCAGCTTGCTCAGATGTGTAGTTTCAATTCCATTTCACAGAACTTGTCTTTAACCTTATCTTTTTTTATATCATGCAATCCACTTTAAGGAGATTTGGTGGGGGGAGACTTGAACTGATTCAGCCAACATGTTGAATCCTCATAAACTAGCAGCACTGAAGAATTTATTTTTTAAAGGGCTAATGTAGAAAGTTAATCCATAGAGGCAAATAAAATTTATTGAAGCCTTTCAGAGTGAATTATCTCCATAAGTCTTCACTGACTTTACAGCTCTTACTGTTTTGGGTTGTTTGGGGTTTTTTTTTTTTTTTGTTTTTGTTTTTTTTTTAAAACCTCCTTGTTCCCTCTCCCATGAAAAGGCAAAGGCAGTTTGCACCCTTTATTTTGTATTCTGCATGTATGATATTAGTTCATGTGTTTAGATGAACTTGTTAGGTTATAAGTTGGTCATTTTTTGAAATGTCCAAATCAAGATACGTGAGTGGGTGACATGGCTGGAAAATTCTTGCTAAAAATGAATGTATTCAAAGTGATGAAGTAAGATGACAGTCTCTTTGGACCATATAGGCTGCTGTTCAGATATGCTAATTTGGATGTTTCATTTTTCTTTTATTCAAATTTGCTGTGAGTTTAATAGAACTGAAAATACGGAAGGCAGGACAGAGAAGTAGGATGTGGATTTTCTGTGATTGTATTTCCTGCATTAATACGTGCACATACTGAAATGTGTGTGTCTATATACCTGTCTGTGTTTGTTTCTCTTCCTAGTCCAACTTCGCAATGGGCCGTTTTCCTAGCACCTGTAGGAAGTGTTATATGCTGGATTTTGGCTTGGCACGGCAATTTACCAACTCTTGTGGGGATGTCAGACCAGTAAGATTTTTTCACAGTTGTCAATTTGATTAATGAAATGTGGTTATATGCTGTCTGTTTTTTTTCTTTCTGGAGAAGTGTGGGACTTGCATTGGACTGGTAACTGATCTAAATGTGTCAAACATCATCCCAGATCAGAAATGCCATGTGATTTATAGTTCATATTAAAAGATTGGCAGTTGTGAATAAATCAGGTGTGATTTTTGGCTTGAGGCAGAGGTGTAGTCTATGATGTTTTTGGATAGTCTTATCTTTTGGTTTGGAAAATCAAGCAACAAACAGGTTTTCATTAAATACCAGAGTAATACAGTGGAGCTGAATTTCACTTGGTATTACAGATTACATTTTAAAAAACCCCACAAATGTGTAGGATAAAAAAGTCAAAGACTCAATTGACTCTGTAATCTTCTGAAAGAGAAATTGTGAATAATTAAAACAGTGATAGGGCACTAATTATAATATTTAACAGGACACAGTTAAGTGTAGTTGCTGTATTCCCATGTGATGCAGTCTGAAAAAAAATGGTAGATAAAAGCATATCAATGCTGGCATTTCAATTTTAAGTACAGTAGAGCCTCCCTAATTCACTGCTGGGCAGTCCTTTTGTTAATTTCAAAGTCTGAAAATGAGCAAGTCAGTGCCATGGTGCATGGTGATGTTTTAAAGATACCTGTTCTCTTTATTAAGGTAATTCAGTTTACATTTTGATGGTAATACTGAAAAATATACTAGTCAATATTGAGTAACATATTTATCAATGTGATGTGATTTGAGCTGTAGAAGCCATGTCTACAGCAGTTTCAATTTTATTTTGCCTAAGAAGCTGGGAAAGTGGCCAGTTTTTGTGGGCAAATTACGAGGTATGTGAATTAGTAAGGTAAATTAGTGGGGTTCTGCTGTACTCTATTCCTTCAGCCATAATGCTGGACACTGCAATGAAAGTAAAGAGCAGGGGAGACCAACAGAGTGGCTGCTGCTGTTGGAAAGGTGAGCTGAACATTTTAAGTAGTTTTAAAATTCTTCTTGTTTATTTCTCAATGTTCTTGTTGTGCTCTGTATGTTTGGCTGCTGCTAATGTTTTTCTAACTGACCTGTAATTTCAAAGAGAAAACAATTAACGATTCTGTAAATTCTCTCTATATACACACCACTGACAGTATTTTCAGGAAAAATAGGTGATAACAACAGAAAAATTAATGTTCCGTCTGTTCTTTTGTAACATCTCAGCTCTTGCCTTTTGTTTTTCATTGCAGTGTCCTACAATGTAACTGAAGTAATTCTTCAATTTAATCTTTTTAGAAGTTTCTGACAGTGTAATCCATATCAGTAGAGTGGCAGTAAGGGGAAAAAACCCACAGTATTTTTATTTGTACTTAATAGTCAGAAATGGCTCTTGTATAGATAGCAACCATACTGTTGGCCTTGCTTACTCTTAAAATTTACTAATATTTTCATTAAATGTGCTATGTGCTTCTCCTTAAGGCTATCCTTCTTCTAAACTTCATTAGATTTCTTCAGCAGATACTGCAAATAACCTGGAACAATGTAAAAGCATGTTCTCCAAAACTCATAGTACTCTATTGGTAAGAATCTGTTCCTTAGTTAAGGTTGCTTATTAGATTTTTATGATAAACCTAATTTTTTTATACCTGACTTCTGCAGAAAGAATCCAGTCCCACTGAGATTTTACATACCATCCCTGAGTCATTGAATTTCCACAATGTGTTCTAAAAGGATCGGAAAAGAAGTCTTGGAAATTATAGTATTAGGTTTTAGTCCTTTGGCAGTTTTGTATCTCCCCCAACATTAAGAAATTCCTGATGGCCATAAATCTGTTTGTTGAACTCAGAAAGATGGAGGAGGCTTATATGGATACTCTTGAAAGCAGAAAAGTTTATGGCAGGACTGTGTTTCCCTCCAGAAATCAGTGGCCAGCACTACTGGGTTGCATATACATTCCAACAGGTGGGAGATTAAAAAGACTGGTAGAGAGGAAATGTGTTGTGCAGTTCTTTGATGAAATGCAATTTAGGCTGGCAAGGGGGCAGCAAATAAAGGCAATCGCAAGAATAAATTCTGATTGGTTTTATAGTGTAAGTCTTGTTAATGTAGCTCATATTGACTTGACTGAAGTTCAAGCAAGAAGTTGAAAAGACTCCTTAACGTGAGGAAGACTGCTTTGTTTTGTGAAATCAGGTCGGAAACAAAGAGGAAATAAATTTATTTCAACCATTTAATTCAAACCACTAAACTACCCAACATTAGACTCTCAGCTAATTCTGGTGTGTTTTACCAAGACAGAGGAATACAGCAGAGTTTCATATGACTTCAGTGTGGCAAGGTGCTCTTGTTTCAGATCTGTTACAAAAATAGGAATTATCAAACTTGGGAATCCATGGTTTTATTCCAGTATTTGACTGAAGTATGTGCTGGTGGGTACTGATAGGTTTGGACCCTTCTGCATTTCTGTTAAGCCTGTGCTTATTTAGTCTGAATCTTTTTGCCTGTCTCTCCTCTCTGGTTTTCTTCCTACATCCACCTCCTCATATTGCTTCACTTCCAGTTAGACTCGTTTCTCATCTCCTCACAGTTTTGGTGCCCACTGGAATAGTACAGATGCAGTTAAGTGAAGTTTTCTCTGCTCCTCATTTCTTTTCTTAGCACCATAATGAAACCTGAAAGCATTCTGAAGGAGCAAGAGAAAAGAAACTCAGGCTCTTGCAGCTCTGGATTGAATTATACCTCACAACATATAGAACATTTGAAGAATTTAGATGCCTGAATCAAACAAGGCTGTATTGAGTTGTGTGAAATTTAGTTTTTCAGAAGCTCAGGCATAATCAGTTTTGGAAGCCTACCAGAATATTCTATCACGGCACTTTCTCAAAACCCTCCTTGCCTGTATTCATTCCAAGACCTGCTGGGGATATAGGACTCCTTGAAGTTATTGTAGAGGTTAATAAACAAAACAAACATTTGTTTCAGCAGCATTCAAGAGCAGCTGGAAATGATTTGCTGAATTAAAAGCAAGCAGCTACTAAACCAATCATCTAACATGAAGAATTTCAGCTTAAATTATAACACACAGAAAGTTTCAAGCAGCTGAATGCAGGATCTTATATGGATAAAAATCTTATGTAGATTTTACTACAGGTGCCATATATGCTACCTTGGCAGTGAAGTTCACAGGCAGCAGTGCTAATGAGTCTGGAGGCATTTGAACCTGATTCCAGCAATATTCAAATAGAAAATGTTTGTGCTTTAAAGTAGAAATGAAGATTTGTTCAGGTTAGAGAACTTAAATATTTTTGGTACTATCTGTACTAATTACTTTTTTTGTTTCACATCGTTAATACAGTAGTTATCAAACATATCTTTTTTATTACAGAAAATGCATTGATGACATAGACACTTCCTTAGCATGGACTTGGTTCTCCCTCATCTTTTCTATGGTGTATAGACCAGTTCTGAACGTTTGTTTCTTCATGTGCATTTTCCTGTCTATAATACTCCAAATGATAGCCTATGGAACTTAGTCTCCCATGCATCAAGTTAATTTAATTGCAGGGGTTTAATGAGTTGTCATAGTCTGTTTTGGGTCAGATTTTACAGTAGTGTTGGATGTATTTGTGTACACTGCAGTCTGTTTTCTCATCTTGCTGCTGAGCTTTTCTACCTGCCTGAAATGGCTTCAGAATTGAGTTAAAAGCAGCTCTATCTTCCATGTTAAATTAAATTATTCTCTAGAGTAAATAGATGTTATTACAGCAAAAATTGTTCCCAGAATTCTTATGCACTAAAGGCAAAATAAAAAGCCTGTGCTAAGTACTGCTTATATCAATCCTGCTTGAGTGTAATCTATCTTTTTCTCCTTAGTGGGAGCACCAGTTTCTTGAATTCTCATTTAATTGTTTATTGCTAGAGAGGAGTTTTAAAATGAGACATTTGACACATTACCTAGAATAAGAATCTATGTTAATTTGTGATTTACTGTGAGTTGTCTCACTGTTTCTTCTGCTGTTGTTTACCATAAGTAGTGTTTATTACAAAGGTCACAACAAATGAAGCTACTCTGGTTCAGTCTGCCTTGAAATTAATAGCAGCTCATGTATTAGTAAGTTGACATTATTTTATTTGTTAAAGATCTGGGGATCATAACATACTCAAGATTGAAAAGAAAATTGTGTAGGTAGATTAATCCACAAATGAAAGAAAATGTGTAACTTGTCTTTCCTGAGAGATTTTAGCATCCAGAATTTTAAAATTTCTGTAATTATGCCACCAGAACTAATTTACAGCTTCTTCCACACCCATGTTTTAACAACATGGCATCTACTGACATCTTCTTTTCCTGTGCTGGCTTTTCTTCTCTACATGACTAGCATTTGTTTCCTGTGATTCCTGTCAGCTTTGTCTCCATTTCTCAGTTTTTCTCTGTTTTCTGTTAATACAAACCTTAAACCTGCATCCACGTAGTTCCTGCCTTTTTACCTCTGGTGACAATCTTCCTCTCTCTGACCTTCCTCTGGCTCCAGCTTCTTTTATGATCTAATTTTAAGTCTTCTTTCTTCAAGTTATCCCTCTCTAGTTTTGTTTCCCCCTTTCCCCCTTAGCCTCATTCTTAATCACTTTTATTTTTTTGTCTCTAGGGACACGATTCATGTTCCTGATGTCCTTATTGCAATACTCTTTCCTTCTTTTCAAACTGAAACAGCATCATCTGTCTCTGGTATCTTTGTGAATATCTTACAATGAACTCAAATTCAACTTGCTCTTAGTTTCCTTTCTCCTGTGCCAAACACTTGGTGCTACTGCTGTTCCTAATGGGATGGTGGCATGTCATACCACCTTCCTGATACCAAAGCTTGCTGGCAGTTCTGACTTCTGATGTCTTTACATCCAATCTCTATATATCCTGACAGTGGTAACCTGAAGTTCTTGTATGGCCTCACCATACCCTGACCTGACTGTTTAGAGTCCCCTTTCTCTGCTTTGATGAG